CCTATTCCCAGCTCACACACACACACACACACACACACACTCTGCACCTATTCCCAGCTCACACACACACACACACACACACTCTGCACCTATTCCCAGCTCACACACACACACACACACTCTGCACCTATTCCCAGCTCACACACACACACACACACACACACTCTGCACCTATTCCCAGCTCACACACACACACACACACACAGACACACACACACCCTGCACCTATTCCCAGCTCACACACACACACAGACACACACACACCCTGCACCAATTCCCAGCTCATTCACACACACACACAGACACACACACTCTGCACCTATTCCCAGCTCACACACACACACACACACACACACACACACACACACACTCTGCACCTATTCCCAGCTCACACACACACACTCTGCACCAATTCCCAGCTCATTCACACACACCCTGCACCAATTCCCAGCTCATTCACACACACCCTGCACCAATTCCCAGCTCATTCACACACACCCTGCACCAATTCCCAGCTCATTCACACACACACACAGACACACACACTCTGCACCTATTCCCAGCTCACACACACACACACACACACACACACACACACACACTCTGCACCTATTCCCAGCTCACACACACACACACACACACACACACACACACACTCTGCACCTATTCCCAGCTCACACACACACACACACACACACACACACATTCATAGTTTGTTTTGGTGATACTGGGGTTCAGCTCAGGACTAGGTGGGTGCTCTATAGCGTCAGCCACGCGTACCGCATCTTACGGTGCTGGGATTCTTTTGAGATAGGTCTTACTTTACGCCCCGGCCAGCCTAGATTGCGACCTTCTGTTTGTGCTTCTCTGTGTCACTGGTGTGTCAGAGATAGGTCTCCGTGCCCAGCCATTGGGTGAGGAGTCTTGTGGGCTTTTCTGTTTTGGACTTGGTTGCTTCAAACTGCAGCTCTCCTGAGTTCTGCTTCCCAAGTAGCTAGACTTACAGGTCTGAGGCACTGTGGCCAGATCAAATACCATTATTATTGTTACTATTTTTTCTCCAGTACTGTGGCTTGCACATAGGGTCTTGCTCTCTCATTTGACTCTTCACGCATACCTGGTGCTCCACTGCTTGAACCAGGCCTCCACTTCTGGCTTTTGTTGCTGGTTATTTGGGGTAAGAGTCTTTTGGCTTTGTCTGTCTGGGCTTGCTTCACTCATTGATCTTCGCATCTCAAACCTTGAACAGGCAGGGTTTCAGGTGTGAACCCTCAGGGCACCGCTCCAACACCGCTTTCCATTTGGGCGTCGTCTTTACCTCTGCAGGCCTCGGGGGATTCTGGGCTACTGCAGATGCTTCCATGCCGAGGTGGAAGCCATGGGACCCGCTGTTGAGCGGCAACGCTCTGCGTGTCCTGGTGTGTGGCAGACGGGGTGGCTGCGGGGGCCAGGCCGGGCTCCGGCCCCCTCACGGACTTGCCCTGATGCCCAGCTGCGAATGGCCACGCCTGTGCCTTCTCCCGCTGCTTGCCCTTGGGGGACAAACGTCACCCCTGCCATGCCTGCGGTATCTGTCTTTGTCCCATGACCGGGTAATGCTCCTTTGAAGGGAGGCCCCTCCTCCTGGGGCTGCCGCTGGGCTCCGCTGGACCCCTGTTCTGGTGAGCTGGTCCCTCTCTGGCCTCTCTTTCCCTGCTCCTGGGAGCCCCTCCCAATGAGCCGCATCGCCAGCGTCCCCGTCCAGGCTTGGGTCCCCCCACAGCTGGTGGGGCTCGCAAAGCCCTGCTCCCCCGCCCCGGGCGCTTCCTCCCTCAGCACCCCGCCCGTGTGCTAGACAGTGACACTTCCACTTGCGTCCGGTTCAGCACTGGTGCCTGGCACTGTGTTGGCACCAAATAGTACCGGCCATCAGTTTCCGAGGGGCTGGGGCTGGGGCTGGGCCCGGCTGGAGCTTTGCTCTGCCCTGTTGGCCTCAGCAGGGGCCGTTGGAGTTTTCTCCTGGCTGTGGCTGTTGGGGACATGCACACGGCTTCTCTGGCCGGGGGCTGGGCTCGTTCCCTGGTGTTCAGAACCCAAGAGACCAGAGCGAGGCTGCCAGCTCCTGGCTTCTCTTCTGCCACCCTCCTGTCAGGCCAGCCACGGTTCTGTGTCAGGCTGGGTCGCAGGTGCCTCTGTCAGCCAATCACAGAGCCTGGGGCTTGGCCAGGTCAAGCCCAGTGAGTGCCGGGGAAGAGTCACAGGGAGAGTTACACTGCTCAGGCCAGCACACTGCCCCTCCGGCCTCGCTCCATCCCCCGCCGTCCGTTCCCCACATGCAGTCCAGTTCTGTCTCCTGTCTAGCCAGCGCTGGCTTGCATTGAGCGCGGTGTGGTTTTGGCCTTAGTGTGTCTGGCTCTGTTTCTTTCCTGCCCTAGGTAGGGTGCCGCTGCCCTTCCCAGGGGCTTCCTGCATCAGGCTGTGGGGAGAAGGGGAGCTTACGGGTGGTCACAGCCACGGGTCCAGGAGGTGAGAAGCGAGGGTGCACACGGCCGGCCAGCCTGCGGCCGCCGGGGAGGACAGCTGTGTCACAGCTCTGCCTGGGAGAGAGGCGGCCGAGGGGACCGGCTCCCACGCGCCCCCCTTTCCCCTCTGTCCCCTGCGGAGCCCAAAGGCAGCTGCAGGAAGGTCAGGGATTGGGTCAGAGCGCAGCCCCGGGGCCCAGCGCGGGGTGTGGGGGGGAGCCCTGGCTGCCTGTGCCCGAAGCACACTGCCTCTCTCCTGACTCCTGCCTGGCCCCCCCGGCCCCCAGCCCTCGCAGCGACCCTCGCGGGCCGGACGCGGGTGCGCCCACCATTCCTTACCCGATGTCTCGGGCGGGCAGTGGGCTCTCCACCATCACTCAGCCCGCCCCCTTCTTCCTGCTCTCAGTGTACTTGCCAGCGGCCGGTCCAGACTCGTACTCGCACTTCCTGTGTCCCCCATTCCCAGTACGGGGGAGCACCAGGCAGTCTGTCCTGCTGGATGGTAAACGCTCCACTCCTGCAGGTGCCTGGCACGGAGGAGGTCCGGCCTTCAACGCCTAAAGGTGCCTGGCGCAGAGTTGCCGCGGCCAGGGCCGGCTGACCTGCCGTGCCGGGCACCAAGGCCACTGCCGGGGATGGCCGCTGCCCTGAGGGCCGGGGCCTGGCCCGCAGGCCGTGCCCTATCCTGCCCCTCCCTCCTCACCCCTGCCCCTGCCTGGGCTCCACCGGGAGGGGTAGGCCGGCAGAGGCTCTGGTCCCTTTTCTTCTCCTTCCCAAACCTTTAATAAAGTGGCTGCCTTAAATGTTTTCTTTGTGGAGTAACAAATGCCGGTCAGGTCAGAGATGCCAGTCCGTGCTGTTGTCTAAAACAGAAGCAGGTGGTTTTTGCCTTGAAAAGCAGGAGTGCTGCCATGGGGCTGGGCCCTGGGCTGGGGTGGACGGGCACAGAGTCCTTTCCCGTGACTTCAGTGGGCGCTGATGGGATGGGGGGCAGCTGGCCCCTGAATCAGGTGGTATGTGGAGCCTGTATGTGTTGCAAGGCTGTGTGTGTGTGTGTGTGTGTGTGTGTGTGTGTGTGTGTGTGTGTGGAGGCTGGTCAAGGCCTCCGCACTGTGTAGGTAGGACGGCCCCAGGGGTATTGATGCGAAGGGGCCGAGGCTGGGCGCGGCCAGGCCGGGCGTGCCCGGAACAGACGAGAGGCAGGCTGGGGAGAGGCAGGGAGGGACGTCCTGGGGACCTGACCAGGGTCCGTGTTGTGTGTGGGGTCAGGGACACGGAGGCACACAGGGCGCGCTTGCAGGGGCTGTGAGGATGGGGCGGGGCTGCCTGCAGGCTCACATGGGAGGTCTGGGGCTCAGGGCCGGGGCTGCAGTGCCTGGGGTACTGTGCACAAGCCTGGGGGGCTCTGCTCCTGCCAGGTACCCCCGAGTACGTCTCCCCAGACACCATGGCCAGGCCAGGTACCCCCGAGTACGTCTCCCCAGACACCATGGCCAGGCCAGGTACCCCCGAGTACGTCTCCCCAGACACCACGGCCAGGCCAGGCACCCCCGAGTACGTCTCCCCAGACACCACGGCCAGGCCAGGCACCCCCGAGTACGTCTCCCCAGACACCACGGCCAGGCCAGGCACCCCGAGTACGTCTCCCCAGACACCATGGCCAGGCCAGGCACCCCCGAGTACGTCTCCCCAGACACCACGGCCAGGCCAGCACATCCTTTTTTTTTAAACTTCGTTATTATAGAGGTGATTTACAGAGGAATCACAATGGCTCGAGCCAGGGCGTTTCTTTCACAGTGTCCTCCGCTCCCTCCCTCTCTCCAGTCCCTCCCTCCCGTCTCCACCTGCGAGTTGCACAGCTCATGTCCATCCGTCCATCCGTGTCCAGTGAGCTCCACTGCTGCGCTTTTCCACCCCTTTTCCCTTGAGTTCTGTGCCCTGCCTTACCCTGCCGAAGATATACACCCAAATTCACCATACATGAAGAAAACAGAACCATCAAAGACTAAAAGAGAAGAAGGAGGAGACAAAAAGGCGGGGGGGGGTCCCCTGTTTCCCCTTCGCAGCTTTGCTCCATCGGTGTCATTGCGTGTGAATGTGAGGGGCGCAGGCCTCGCGCCTCTGTGCTTCTCCCCGGGAGAAGCCTCTTTTGGCCTCACTGAGTGTGCGCATCGGGACTCCCGTGTACTGTAGCGTGTCACCACGCATGCCTGTCGGTGTGAGCCGTGGGCCTGGGACAGATCGCTGACTAAGGGGCTCCAGTGTGGGGCCACCCAGGTGATCCTGCGCCCACGTCCATGGCACCCGAGTCCACCCGTGCTCACCGCTGTGGTCTCCCAGCGGGGAGTGCGTGTGATGGGTGCGCCCTGGGACTGGAGGTGGCCGTGTCCACGGGTGCCGTGGCGTGGCGGGCCCCCGTCCATCCACCCGCCCCCCTCACCCCGTGCACCCCGACCCGCGCATACCCCCAGGCTGACAGGTCTCCTCTCCACTCCGCAGGGCCTCACGGGATGGCGGCGCGGCGCGGGGAGCGTGCGGGGGCCTGGCTGGCCCTGGCCCTGGCCCTGAGCGTGAGGCCCGGCGCGGCGGTGCCGTGGCGGGACTGCACGGGCGTCGAGTGCCCGCAGCTGGAGAACTGCATCGAGGAGGCGCTGGAGCCGGGCGCCTGCTGCGCCTCGTGCGTGCGGCAGGGCTGTGCCTGCGAGGGCTACCAGTACTACGACTGCGTGCGCGGCGGCTTCGTGGACGGCCGCGTGCCCGCCGGCCGCTCCTACTTCGTGGATTTCGGCAGCACCGAGTGCTCCTGCCCGCCGGGGGGCGGCAGGATCAGCTGCCAGTTCATGCTGTGCCCTGAGCTGCCCCCCAACTGCATCGAGGCCGTGGTGATGGCCGACAGCTGCCCGCAGTGCGGCCAGCTGGGCTGCGTCCACGGCGGCCGCAAGTACGCCGCCGGCCACACCGCGCACCTGTCTCCGTGCCGCGCCTGCCACTGCCCGGACGCCGGGGGCGAGCTCATCTGCTACCGGCTGCCGGGCTGCCACGGGAACATCTCGGACACGGAGGAGGCCGACCCCGAGCGCCACTATGAAGAGGACCCTTACAGCTACGACCAGGAGGCGGCCGAGGCGGAATTAGGGGCGGCCCTGGCAGGCGAGGCCCAGGCAGGGGCCCCCCCAGCCGCCCTGGGAGCAGGGGCTCAGCCCCTGGCCTCCCTCCGTGCCACCATCTGGCCGGCTGTCCCCCCCAGACCGACGGCAGCCGCTGCCCTGGGCCCCCCGGCCCCCAGGCAGGCCAAAGCCAGCATGGCGACAGAGCGCGCTGCCGGGGAAGCAGATGGAGGGGAGGAGGAGGAAGAGGAGGACAAGGAGGAGGAGGAGGAAGAAGAAGAGGGGGAGGAGGTGGCCACCGAGCAGCCTGTCACGAGCAGCCCCCTGGGGCCGGGCGGGCTGCCCACCACGGCCCCCCCCAGACCTGGCCTCCCCTCCCAGGAGAAAGGGGTGGAAGCCAAGGCAGGGCCCGAGGAGAACCTTATCCCGGAAGCCCAGGCCGAGCCTAGCGGCGGTGGGCAGGAGGGCGCCAGGGCCCCGCCTGGCTCCGGCCTGGGGGCAGTTGCCCCGTCCCAGGCCTCACCCACCTCTCCCAGGGGCCCAGACGCGCCCAGCACCCACCCCACCCCATCCGCACCAGCATCCCCAGCTTCCCCGATCCCACCCACCCTGGAGTTCCCCAAGGAGGAGCCCGAGCGCCCACAGGTGCTGCCCCGGCCCCAGGCAGAGGAGGACACGGACCCCAACTCCGTGCATTCGGTCCCCAGAGGCAGCCCCGAAGGTAAGGCCCTTCCGCGTACCCCAGCGCTCCTGGGTCAGGACCAGGCCCCGCCCCGGGCCCCAGGGCGGTGGCAGCACCCGGCCAGGGCTCCCTGCCCGCTGGCAGGCTCCGGTCTACATCCGGGAGTGAGTCTCATGGGGAAGGGGGGGTCTGACCCAGCCTGGTGGGGTCTCCAGGTCTCTCAGCAGGAAACGTGGGGCTTTGCGGATGGGTCAGCCCTGCCTGGGCATGCCCTCCCATGGAGGCCTGAGCCCGGCGGTGCCCCCAGTGCCCAGTGCACTAGAACGTCACTCAGCATGGAGCCAACGGCCGAGGAGGGGGCTGGTTCCCACTCAGCCACAACCCCGCCAGGGACCCCCTCCCTGTGACACACACGTCCCCGCCGCCGCTCACACCTCAGTCAGAGTAGGAGCAGACCCCTCCGCCGCCGCAGGCCCTGCGCCGTGGCCTCAGTGGCTGCTGGAATCCTCTCCCGTCCCTTTTCCCTCCTCCAGGCTGCTCAGCCCCACTGACCCCCTTTCTGCCTCGGGGCCTTTGTACTCACCGCTCCCCTTGCCCACGGCTTGTCCTCCAGGCTCAGGCCGCCTGGGGTGGGGCGGTGGTGGGGAGGGGGCGGTGGGGGGGGGCGCCTTTCCTGACCAGCCGCCCTTCTGTTAACTTTCTCTTGGGATGACTGACATTTCAGGACACGATTTTTCTATCACGTGGCCTCCCGCCCACCTCCTCTCTGGTCACCTCCTCGCTCCAGCCGCCTCCTGCTCCCTGGACGGCCCACGCTCTCAGTTCTTTCCTGAGACTCTTTCCACACTGTGCCAGCCCCGCCCAGGACGCCTTCCCGCATCTTCGGGTCGGGCCTCGCTTCTTCCAACTCTGCCCTTCTCTCCCTCCTCTGCCTGGTGCTCCGGGCATGGGGTGTTTTCTAGATGTCTCCCCCACAGCCGGGGCCTGGGTCTCATCATCCCTTCACTGAACAAACCTTGGTGGTATGATCTGGGAGCAGCCGGGGGCGCTGGAGCAGGGAGGTGGGCCGGGGGTGTCTGGGAAGGCTTCCTGGAAGAGGGGGCCTGAGAGACCCAGCTATCTTCCCATCTTCCCTAGAGCTGCGTGGCCTGGGGCTGGTCTCCTGGCTGGTGTGGGTGGGGCCCTCAGGGCCTGTGTATGGCCAGTTGGGGTCTCTGTCGGCTCCTCCAGCCCTCGGCCCGCGTTTCCAGCCCTCTGCCCCTGACAGAGCGCCAGTCAGGAGCCGTTCCTGCCCTGAGCTGAGCGGGGTCCGTGCGGTGTGGCTGTGCGGCAGGGGTGCGTGGCCCGGGCTCCCGCTGCCCACACCCAGCCCTGGGCCTGCAGGCGGGGGAGCATGCCAGAGGGAGGAGGGAGGGTCTAATGAAGTCCACGTGTGCCCATGGGGGGCAGGAGGCATGCAGGGCGGGACTGGGAACTGTGACAGACACACCCCTGGCCACCCTTCCCTGTGCCCGCACTGCTGGCCCAGCGGCCGGGCTGAGCCGGGGAACCCCCCGCCCCGCCCCCCGCCCCCGAGCCTGAGCCTGGGACTCCCCCTTGGTGCTTTCCTCTGTGCTGGCTTTCTCGGATGGATCTGGGGGTGTGGCTGCTGGGAGTGGGCCCCACTGTGTGCCAACATCTGCCTGAGGGTTATTCTGGCAGCCACCCAGCATGTGCAAAGGCCCAGAGACTCGCGGCTCTGTGGGTGTGGAGGGGAGGGGCGGTGCGGGCACCGGCGCCAGCCCCACGGGGGCCCAGTTCACCATCTGTGGACAGCCAGGGGTCCCAGCGTCGCGGGCTGTGCTGAGGATGAGCAAGAGCGAGCTAATCCGTGCTAAGTGCTTGCACGGGGAGGTCTTGTAGAGCCATTAGAGGTGTTTGTGGTCACTCTGCCATCCGTCACCGGCGCGCCAGACGCCCCGGGGACCCTGCCGGGGCCGGGGTTGTGCTAGCAAGCAAGGCGGGTGCACCTCTCCCTGGGGGGCCCCATGGGGGTGGGGAGCCTTAGAGAAACCAAGGCCGGTCCTGGCCTCCATGGGTGAGGTCAGCAGGGTGCCGGCCTTGGGCGGGGCTCGGGCGGGGAGCGGGTTTGGACTGTGGTGGGGGCCTGCTGATAGGGGCGAGGGCTGGGGGGGGCTGAGGCCTGGAGGGGCCCTGGCCGGGGAGGAGCCCGCCGAGAGGGGCAGGGGCCAGCCGTGACCCCCGTCTGTGTTGCCATAGCAGCCCTGGGGCTTAGAGAAGGAGATTCCCCGCCATGGCCTCAGCCCGGGCTGCGAGCAAAGCCGCGCCAGGGAGCCGCGCCGTCCCTCCTCTGAGCGTGTCCAGATGCGGCCTAATGCAAGCCACATGGCCGCTCCCTGGGCCGGGCGGGGAGCTGAGGCCTGTCGTCACTCGGGGCCTGGGGGAGGCGTTGAACCTCCTCCTGCTGCAGGGCTCGGACCCAAGGTGCCAGGAGCCGGGGAGGCCGCCCAGGACCTGGTGGTGGGCAAGGGCCGGGTAGACGCAGGCTGGGCAGACGGGGCCTTGGACGCCGCCCCGCCCGCAGCCGACCCCAGCGCTGTGTCCCGGGACAGACACGGGCACAAAAGGCTGCTTCCAGGCATGGGAAGTGAACCCCGGAGGCCTGGGCCTCGGGACATGGACATGGGGGGGGCGCTGGGCCCACGTTTCTCGGGACACGGGAGACAGACACAGCAGGAAATGCTGGGAGGAGCTCGCTCAGCACCGCCTCACCCGGGCCTTTCCACGGGACGTGGAGCCGGACTCCCTGACGCTCGCCGTGGGGCCCGCACCCCGGCCTCTGCGTGAGCAGCCACACGGCCTGCACAACGCACGCGGCGACCGTGTTTTCCCCTTCCTTCTCTTTCCCTTTGGTCTTTTCTTTTTGGTGGTGCTGGGCTTGAGTCACACCTTCAGTCTTTTTCAGATAGGGTCTTGCTTTTTGCCCAGGGCTGGCCTTGGGCCACAGTCCTTCTGCTTGTGCCTAGCCGGGATCACCTGTGTGCGCCACTAAATCTCACATTTTGCTTGGGCTTGCCTCAACCCCGCTCCTCCCGAGCTCCGCCTCCCGAGGGGCTGGGATGGCAGGCATGAGCCACTACAGCACTTCTTTTTGTCCCGAGTTCTCAGGTGAGCACTTGGCTTCTCTGGAGCAGGAGTGGCTGGTGCTTCGCGGGGCCTGCTACCTCTGCTCTCTGTGTCCCCTCCCAGCTGCTCCAGGTGGCCTTGCCCCGCACAGTCCGGTCTGTCCCGCACGCGGTCCCTGTCTGTCTGCCGGGCCCGAGCTGTCTCTGAGCCACGTGACTTCTCGTTCGCGGTGGCCTGCCGCACCCCGTTCTGTATTAGGTAAAAGATGAGGAGTGCAATGGGGGCCGGCCTCCAGAGTCGGCACAACTGCTATTTGTGGTGGTGGTGGTTGGGCCAGACCTGGGACTTGAACTCAGGGCCTGGCTGCTGTGCCGGAGCTACTTTGCTCAAGGCTAGAGCTCTCCCACTTGAACCAGAGCTCAGGTACTGGTTGGTTGCCCCTCCCCCAGGGGTGGACGTGCCTGGCTTCTTCCCAGAGCCAAGTGCTCGGCCGGAAGACTCTGGGTGCTGCTGTGTCTGTCCACCGTGGGGTTCCGGGCTCCAGTCCCATCCTGGAGTCCCGTGGGAGTCCTGGCCTCCTGTGTCCTGGCCTTCCAGGAGCTTGGACGGAGGCCACAGCTCCACTCTGGTGGCAGCTGGGTCCTTTGTCCTTGGGACTTGGGGAGGGGCGCCCTCTGAATGAAGCCAGCACTGAGCCGGGGCTCTGCCCACCCCTCCACCTGAGCTTTGGGCCGTGTCACCCTGGGAATGGGCCTCGCCAGGCCCTTGGGGAGTGAACTTGCACCTCTGTCCTGGCTGTGCAACTTCTGGCGAAGGTGTCTCCCTTTCTGAGCCTTAGTTGTGCCTCTGTCAGATGTGGGCTGGTTGATCAGCGTTCCTGAGAGACGTTAGTTAGCAAGACGTCACTTAGCACAGGGGGGCTGCTCGGGCCAAGCACGCCTTTCTTTCCCTGCCAGCTGCGGGCTGAGCTCGGGGTGGACTGTGTTTTTGTTTGAGTGAACAGTCATGTGTTTTTGCTGGCCAGAAGCTGTCGCTCTGGCAGAGGTGGAGGACCAGCCCTGCTGGGGCTAGGCAGGGTGCTGAGCTGCTTACTTCCTGCCCCGCCTCCACGCGAGGCCCAGGCCAGGGCCCCTCCCTAGCTGACAGCCCCCCTGCCTGTCCCAAGATGGGGGCACAGGCCGGCTTTGTAAGTCACCTGGGGGCAGCAGCTCCAAGTGTGGGGCCCCCGGGCTCAGGGTCACAGAGAGCTGGGCCTTGAGGCCCAGGCCTGGGCCATGCTGCCCGGGCTAGGCGGCCCCATGGACTTTCTAAAAGAAGCTGCAATCTGGAGATTCAGCGATGGCTCTCAGTGTGGAGGTGGAGGCAGTTAGTAAAATTGTGCAAAGCACCGGGCAGTGGGGGCTCTCTCTCTGGTGTGGGTGGGGATCACATTGCTGTGATGCCCTCAGGCTCCTCTTCCCATCGGTAGGATGGCTTCACCGTGGCCGCTCTGGTGGCCACTTGCTCCGCAGGCCGTGGGGCAGGGGAGAGGTGTTTTCGGTGGGGGTGGGGTGGGAGGCAGACCAGACTGTGTGGTCAAGGTGTGAGGTGTAAGGACATGGCGAGGTTCCTCCCCGCCATGTTCAGGCAGAGCAGCCTGCAAAGCTGCTGGCGGGGAGTGAGGTTTGGGGGAGCCCTAGGCTGGCCATGGCTTCCCACTGGGGACGCTGAGCCACAGGTCCCTCCAGTGGGGCCATATGGGGCGGCCGGGGTCAGTGAATGGAACTCAGGCCCCGCACCTGCCCCGAGGAAGATTCGTGTACACTTGTACACACGTGTCCTAGACACACTCATTACGGGCGGGATCTGCCGAGTGCTCTGCGCTTACACACGCACCGGGTCCGCCACCCAACAGATCTGAGCACGCGTCTTTCTGGTGTCTCGGTTAGCTCAGCCCCTCCACCCCCGCCAAAGCCACCATTCGGCTTGAGCAGTGAGTTGTGCCTATTACCCACCTGCGTGTCAGAACGGGCCGGCTGCGGATCCCTCCAGGGGTATGAGCTGGGGTCTTTGGGGCACGCACACAGCCCTCACACGGAGCAGTGAGGTTGTGGGCAGTTAAATACAGCTGAGTTGCACCTGCGAGGAGGCTGGCTGCTCGCTGCAGTGGGCTCTAGTGTGCACAGGTGGAGGGGAAGTCGCCGGCCGGGAGCGCTGTGCGTGCTTCGCAGGCCTCGGGCCTTCCTGTCTGTAGATGTCCGCCCGGCGCGGGGCTGGCCGTGCCCGGGCGTGGCTAGCTCTAGCTGGTGTAACCAGTGTGTCAAAGCACGCTGCCAGCCGACATGCCAGCGGCAGGCGAGCGTTCCGGTAGCAGGGTCCCGGATGGTGCCACCGCCATCTTGGCCCCGCCCCGGGCACGCAGAACTCTGTGTAGCTTTCATCTGTTTCCCGCTGAACCGTGGCGCAGAGCGGCTTCCCAGCCCGCAGGCCCTGTGGTCCTTTGCCTGTCTGAAGACCACACCTCCGCCGGGACTGCAGGCGTCTCCCAGGGCGGCCAGGTCTTCTCTTTCGCAGATTCCTTTCTGCTCTGGGGCGATTGTGGGTGGGTCTGTCGCCCGTGCTGCTGTCCGAGGGACCCCATGTCCTTGTTGGACGTGCCACCGCCCCCCCCCTTCCCGGCGAGGTGTGTGTGTCCTGTGAGAGCCTCTGCGCCCCGGGCTGCTCCTGTGAGGTGTTTTGTGGGTTCGCTGTTGACACGGAGGCCCTGGTGGGGGGATTCACTACTTTTGGCAGCGCTTGCTCTGCTCCGTGCGGCCCAGCTGACGGCTCTGGGACCAGTGCTCGTGTCGGCATTGAAGCCTGCATTCTCTTCTTCGTCCGGCTGGCTGGTTTTAGTTTGTGCCCTGCTTCTTTGGTTCTTGTAGGTAATGCTCGTGTGCCGGGCTCTGCTGAGCTGGGTGTGTGCCGGGCCGGGGCGAGCTGGGGCTGGGCTGGGGCTGGCGGACCTCGGGGCTCCCCTGGGTCTCGTCCCCAGGGCCAGCCCTGACTTGCCCATGTGGAGGGAGGGCAGGAGCTGCAGGGCCTCCCGGAGTTTCATGCAGGCTACAAGCTGGGGGCTGAGCTGGGGTGGGCTCGGGCGGAGCCCCCGTCCGTCCACCACCCTCCTGCTCCGCTCTGTGACCCCAGGGCCCGGAGACAGTTGTGCCCAGGTCGTCTGCCGGCTCGGCCATGTCTCAGACCTCATGAAAAGACGCGGGCACCTGGGTGGTGGAGGAAGCCGGCCTGGCCCCTCCCCCAGAGAGCACTACGGCAGGGGTGGGGGCCCAGGCCGCAGCAATCTCTGGCTGTTTGCTGAGGCTCTGCAAACATCCTGAGCAAACGAGGGGGGGGGGTGGACAGGACCCCATCAGCCCTTTCCTGCCAGGTGGAGAAATTCCTCTGCAGCCCTCCAGAGCCCCGTTCAGGGATTTCACATCCGGGAGAGGGGGGAGGTGGGGGGCGGGTGGGGTGAGGGGAAGGGCAGGGGGGAGGGGGAGGGTCTCGACCTCTGGGTTGGATTGTTCCGGATATCCATTGTCCTGTAATAAAGGAAGTGAGGGCCATCCCCGAATGCCTGCAGCTGTTTATAACTGGACTTTCCTGGCCGGTGATGCCAGCCTGCCGTGGAGGGCAGAGGGGTCCCTCGGGCCCGGCCACTCCTGCCGCCCACTCCCCACCAGAACCCCGGGCTAGGCTCCGGGACGGCTCTGTGACGGTGGGTGTCAGTCCTTCCGAGACGCTGAGCCCAGCACCGGGCAGGTCTGTGCCTGGACCTGTGCTGTCCCAAGGGCCTTTGGTCTGCGTGCCCCGCTCCACATGGCTTTGTGTCCCTGTGTCCAGTGCTGCGTTCGTCTGGTTTCTGTCAGCTTGCGGAGTCCTCTGTGTATTCACTGGTCCCCTGTGCTGGCGCCCTGGCTGCCCAGCCCCCCGCTCAGCCCCCCAGGGCCCCCGCGCTGGTTGTGACCAGGCGGGAGGACTTCCCTGGCCGGTGCACACAGGCCCGAGCTTCAGCCGCGCAGGCTCACTGCCTCCTGTGCTACGTCTTTGCTCCTTGGTGGTTCTTTCTCGTTTCTCCAGGGGTTGAGGTGCTGTACTTTAGGGTGGTCTTTACTTTGGCTGGCTTCAGGATTTTGGTGGATTTTTGTGGATGGCAGGTTGTGTGTGTGTGTGTGTGTTGCCACTTCTGTGCACTTTGGAGATGGCTGCAGGCCCGTGCTGTGGTTGGGGGCTCTGGGGTGTAGGTGGCCCCAGTTGAGCCCTTGGAGTTGCTCTTTGGCTATGGGGCTCCCCCAGCCTCTGTGGGAAGGCGGGGCCTCCTGGGTGAGTCCCCCAGAGTTGGGGGCGGGGGGCCTTTCCTGCCCCACGCCAGCACCTGAGGCTCCACGCTGCCCCCGCAGGCTCCATCAAAGACCTGATCGAGACGTGCTGCGGGGCCGGCCAGCAGTGGGCCATCGACAAGGACGAGTGTCTGGAGATCCCCGAGAGCGGGCCAGAGGGTGACGCGTGCAGGTGAGGGGCCCGGCGCCCCGTGTCCCCAGCACCGCTGACTGTGCGGACCTGCTGCCGGCCCAGTGCCCTGGTGCGGGGCGCCATTTGGGGCGCGCTGAGAAGGCCCCGCATCACCGGGACAGCCCCAGGGGCGCGTTGAGGGGGCCCCGCATCACCGGGACAGCCCCAGGGGCGCGTTGAGGGGGCCCCGTATCACCGGGACAGCCCCAGGGGCGCGCTGAGAAGGCCCCGCATCACCGGGACAGCCCCAGGGGCGCGTTGAGGGGGCCCCGCATCACCGGGACAGCCCCAGGGGCATGCTGAGGGGGCCCCGCATCACCGGGACAGCCCCAGGGGCGCGTTGAGGGGCCCCCCATCACCGGGACAGCCCCAGGGGCGCGTTGAGGAGCCCCCCATCACCGGGACAGCCCCAGGGGCGCGCTGAGAAGGCCCCGCATCACCGGGACAGCCCCAGGGGCATGCTGAGGGGACCCCGCATCACCGGGACAGCCCCAGGGGCATGCTGAGAAGGCCCCGCATCACCGGGACAGCCCCAGGGGCGCGCTGAGGGGGCCCCGCATCACCGGGACAGCCCCAGGGGCGCGTTGAGAGGACCCCGTATCACCAGGACAGCCCCGTCTTCCCCAGGCGTGCGTTCCTTCCCATCCAGCTGCCCGGGGGACCCCCGAGGCCTGGCCATTCTCCATCCTCCCCTGCTGCCCGTTTCCTCTGGCCCTGGGGTTCCCGGCGCTGAGCCACTTAAACCCAAGGTTGAGAAAGACGCCACGTGGCTACCATCTCCCCTCCTCCTAGCACCCCATCTTTCCAGACAGCACAGTTCAGGAACCGTGAGATTCCCTGCCCAGCGCCCTGGCAGGATGGCCTCCGTGAGACACCCCCTTTTCTGCAGGGAGGCCTCCGTGAGACACCCCCTTTTCTGCAGGGAGGCCTCCGTGAGACACCCCCTTTTCGGCCGGGAGGCCTCCGCGACACCCCCTTTTCTGCAGGGAGGCCTCCGCGACGCCCCCTTTTCTGCAGGGAGGCCTCCGCGACACCCCTTTTTCTGGTGCCCAGCGCACGCTGCCTTTTTTGCACAGGGCCTCCGCCCCTGTCCTGCCGCCCTCCAGTCTGGGCTGCTGAGGAGTTAGAGCATGCGCTGCGCCGGGCTGGGCACACGCGCGTGCACTTGCTCTCCCTGGTGACAAGGAAGCCAGGAGGCACCCACCCCGGGGTGCAGGTGCGGAGCACCCCTCCTGGAGCCCCTGGTCTGACCGTCCTGTCTCAGCCGCCACTGCTCCAGGGCCACCCTGCAGAGAGGGCCGGCATTCCGGGGACCCCTCTCCTCTCCCGCATGGGTCCCCCCAGGGCTTTCTGCAGGAACCCCATCCTGCCAGGCCTGGCTGCATTTCTGGGTTCAGCCAAGAAATGAGCTCATACCGCCCAGCCCCGCTTGCTGCGGACGTGCCCCCCCGCCCTGGCCTCCCCTCCGGGACGGGGTTCTGTGGAGGACCGGGCTCTGGGCTGAGCCGCCCGCCTTACAGGACCGCCCAGAAGCACTGCTGCGTCTCCTACCTGAAGGAGAAGAGCTGCATGGCCGGTGTCATGGGAGCCAAGGAGGGCGAGGCCTGCGGAGCCGAGGAGGAGGACAGCTGCGGCGTCTCCCTGTACAAGGCAAGCACGGCCTGTGCCGCGCGCCACCAGGCAGCGCCCGCGGGCCCCCCCCCCGCCCCAGGCAGCGCCCGCGGCCCCCCCCCCCCCCCCCCGCCCCAGGCCCAGGAGACACGCAGAATCATGGACGATCCCGGTGTGTGCCAGGCATTGGAGATGGATGGTGGTCCGCGGTGGGGGATGGAGCCCCCCTTTCGGGTCACATGCCAGAAGGCCACAGTGCCAAGGAGGTTGGTGAAGGATGTCTGTGCAGCCCAGGTGACAAGTTTGGCCACAGGCAGTGGAAATCCCTGAACAGGACGTTGGCTTCCCTCAGATGCAGGCCGGCCTGAGCCAGAGAAGCGCAGTGCGCAGCCCTCAGCCGCTGGGGCGGGGACGCGGGCTCCTCCCCTGAATTGGCCAGGGCCACTTAGCGGCTTTGGGGCCCCAGCGGTCCTGCGAGCACTGTGGAGGGGAGGGAGTCAATAACTGGAGCTGTTACACTGGCTCAGGCCACACAGCGTCTTCAGGGACCCGGCTTTCTGTTCAACCGTCCTCAGCTTGCAGCTTCTATCTCAAGTCATTTCATGACCCAATATGGCTGCAAAAGCGCCAGCCACCCAAATGTTCTCATGAAGGGAGACGTGAAGGGCAGAAAGGATGAACTTTGTGGTAGTCGGTCCCCATGAAAAGCTCTCTTGGAAACTACCCAGTGAAGTAGGGGATGCTGGCTTCTGGCTGGTCTGGCCAGTATGGAAATACGCTGCACTGCTGGTCAGGGTAGGACAGATACACTGCACTGCTGGTCAGGGTAGGACAGATACACTGCACTGCTGGTCAGGGTAGGACAGACACGCTGCACTGCTGGTCAGGGTAGGACAGACACGCTGCACCGCTGGTCAGGGTAGGACACACTGCGCTGCTGCGGGTGTGTCTCCAGTGCTTTCTGCAAAGGGACATTTATTTATTTACTTATGGAGACTAGCATAGCCCTGTGCTGTATTAGACCTGGGACATAGAGGTAGAGCTTCTGCCCTGAGACAGGATATGCAGGTGGGCAGAGGAGACCAGACTACACTGAATCGCGCCCTTGCCAGGCATAGTAGGATATGCTTGTGATCCCAGCTACTTGGGAGGCATAGATTGGGAGGACCGTGGTTCAAGACCAGTTCAAGTTAAAACAAACAAACCCTAGCAAACCCCAACTCAACCACCAAAGTGGGTACAGTAGTGTGTGCCTGTCATCCCAGCTATGTAGGAAACATATATAGGAATATCTTGGTCCTGGCCAGCCAAAGGAAAAGCACAAGAGCCTACCTGAAAATTAACCGAAAGCAAAAGAGCTGGTGGCCTAAGTGGTACAGCACTTGCTTAGAAATCACAAGGCCCTTAGTTCAAACCCCAGTACCACCAAAATAAAACAAAAGCAAACAGCCCAAACCATTCACCAGCCCCTCCAGGCACAGGGCAGGGAGTGATGGCCCACGTCTCCCACAGCAATGCTGTGACTGCTGTGGCCTGGGACTGAGAGTGAGGGCCGAGGGCCAGTCCTGCGAGTCCAACCCCAACCTGGGCTACCCCTGCAACCACGTCATGCTCTCCTGCTGTGAGGGCGAAGACCCCCTCATGGTGCCTGAGGTCCGCCAGCCTCCAGAGCCCCAGGCTGCCCCTCGGAGAGGTGAGTGAGGTCCTCCCCAGCCGGCGACTGGGGCAGGTGGGAGGAGCCAATGGCAGGTGGGAGGAGCCTAGGGTCGGTGGGAGGGAACAAAAGGGCAGGTGGGAGGAGCCAAGGGCAGGTGGGAAGAAACAAAGGGCAGGTGGGAGGAGCCAATGGCAGGTGGGAAGAAACAAAGGGCAGGTGGGAGGAGCCAAGGGCAGGTGGGAGGGGCCAAGGCCTGGTGGGAGGAAGCCATGGGCAGGTGTGAGGGGCCAAGGGCGAGTGTGAGGGGCCAAGGGTGAGTAGGAGGAGCCAAGGGTGGGTGGGAGGAGCCAAGGGTGGGTGGGAGGAGCCAAGGGCAGGTAGCCTCTGTGGGGACTCTGGTTCCACTGTCACGTTTGGGGAACAAGCTCTTCTCTCCACTGAGTGCTGAGGCCACTCCCTGTGGACTTTACCTTTTTACTTGTGAAATGAGGTTCTCACCATCTACCCCACCATGAGCCCAGCCGCCACCCAGTACCTTTGCACTTTCTTACCACCCTCCCAGCTTCTATCTTCTTCCACAGCTACTAATCCATCCATCCAATCATCCACTCATCTACCCACCCACCCATCCACCCACCCACCTACCCATCTGTTCATCCACCCATCCATCCACCTATTCATCATCCATCCATCCACTCATCCACCCAACCCATCCATCCACCCACTCATCCATCCATCCACCCATCATCCACCTATCCACCTATCCATCCACCCATTCACTCATCCATTCCTTTCTTCTCCACTTACCATCATCCATTTATCCCCTTACCATCCACCATCCATCCATCATCCATCCATCCATCCATCCCCCAATAATCAATCATCCAACCACTTTCCATCTACCACCAATCCACTGACCCATTCATTCATTACATCCACCCATCCACCCACCCACCCATGTATTCATCCATGCATCCACATGTCCATCCATCCATCCATCCGTCCATCCATCAATTCATTCATCTATCTACCCATCCATTCACTCACTGATCCATCTATCCACCCAACCTCACTGACTGGCAGACCTGCACTGGTTCATGAGGCTTGTGCACTCTACCACCGGTTCTGGCCAACCTGGCTCCATCTTGGCTGCTGACCGCCACTGCAGTTTCAGAGGCGGAGGTGGTGAGCCGCGAGGCCCTGACACTGGGCACAGAGGCTGAGCTGCCCAACAGCCTGCCCGGCGACGACCAGGATGAGTGCCTGCTGCTCCCCGGAGAGCTGTGCCAGCACCTCTGCATCAACACCGTGGGCTCCTACCGCTGTGCCTGCTTTCCTGGCTTCTCGCTGCAGGATGATGGCCGCTCCTGCCGTCCAGGTGAGCCGCGGACCGCGGGCGGAGCTGGGCTGCCCGCGGTGGGGATGGGGATGTGCCTCTGCTAAAGGCATGGAGCCCTGGGAATGCTGGAGGCTCTGTTCTGGAGCTCCCCCTGCTGGGCTGCCCAGGATGGAGTCATTGTCGGTGTGGACTTTTCTCTCCTCCACCCCTCTCTGTCCCACCTAGCTGTGAGATGATTCTTGCCTGAGCTACTCTGCAGTCTGAGCCTCAGTTTCTCCTGTAAGATGGGGGTGGGGGACGGTGTGGTTCCCAGGCGTGAGAAGGCCTGGTGGAGGATGGGAGCCTCCCCTTGCTGTCTGCCCATGCCAGATGGAGAACCCCGGCAGCCGGGCGTGGCGCCAGAGCCTGCACCCAGGCCAGAGCCGGCCCCCGCGGCCTCCAATTCCATCCCCATGCCGGTGCCACAGCCCAACACCTGCAAAGGTGAGTGGAGGGGCGTCCTCCATGGGGTGCTGGGCTCCAGCACGGCCTGGCCCCACTGGGGCTGGGGGCCAGGTGTGTAGCCCAGGCCACGGCGGGGCCTCTGACCCCCTGTGGTTCCCCCCAGACAACGGGCCCTGCAGGCAGGTGTGCAGAATCATCGGGGGCTCCGCCATGTGCTCCTGCTTCCCGGGCTATGCCATTATGGCGGACGGCGTGTCCTGTGAAGGTGAGGACTCTGGCCCCCCCCCACACACGCAAACCCAGCCGACCTGGGGTGGGGCTCCAGTCGGGCGGTCAGGTGGTCAGGACCCAGACTCACCGTGTGTGTGGTCTGGTTGCTGTGGTGGAGCCCAGAGGAGCCGCCTACACGCTTGCCACGGATTGCTCAGCTGTGCCCCAAGCCGTTTCTCAAGCTTGGACAGGAATGCAGGTCACCTGCAGATCTGGCCACACATATCCATCGAGACTGCCTCCGGTGCCCCAGGAGGCCCAGCCGGGCCTGGGAGTTCCTTCCTTCCTTCCTTCCTGTCAGTACTGGGGCTTGCACTTATGGCCTGGGTGCTGTCCCTTAGCTTTTTAGCTCAAGGCTGGCATTCTACCACTCAAACCACAGCTCCACTTCAACTTCTTGGTGGTTAATTAGAGATAAGAGTTTCCCAGACTTTCCTGCTTGGGCTGACTTTGAACCGCAATCCTCAGACCTCAGCTTCTTAAGTAGCTAGGATTGCAGATGTAAGCCACCAGGGCTCCCAACCAGGACTCTGTGGCTCTCTTTGGCCACACTTGCCTGTGAGGCCGTCCCTGTCCGTGTGACCAGGCTGCTCATCCCTGGGTGAGCCCTGGGTGGAGGAAGGGCAGGAGGAGCCGATGTGGTCACATGACAGCTGCACCCCGCAGCGGCCCCTCCCTCTCGCCTGCTCACCCAGGAGGTAGTTTCAGGGATTCCAGTCAGGTGAGCCCAGGATAGTCACCTCCCTCCCAGATGCTCAAATCCACATCTTGCCCTTGACCATCCAACACCAGGGGTGCTGCAGCCGTGCCAAGGCACACGCACAGAGGTGCCTGGCAGGCTTTTCTCTCCAGTGGTGGGGCAGACGCAGGTGAAGCTGTGCCCTCTGTCCAGCTGACCACAAGGCGTGGCCAGTGTCCACTCTCTGCAGGCCACCCGTCCTGCTCCGGGGCCTGTAGTAAGAGCTGTGGGGCGCGAGCCCGCACTCGGAGAGCACACACGCAGCCCTGCCCGCGGGCAGTCCCGCTCTGCTCTGCTGTGTCTGTAATCCTCAAATGCGTTACCAACCAGGAAAAGCTCAAGAACTTCTGAACTCGCTCCAGACTCGGAGTTTCCCTGGAAACTTCCTAACACCTGCCCACCCTCCCTCCAGCTCCCTTGGTAACCCCTTCTCTCCAGCCTTGCCCCTTAATCTAGAGTTCACAACGTGGCCGCTTCGGATGGACACAGACGTGGGGGGTGGGAGGAGGCCGTGTCTGGTCCTGCCCACTGTGAGGGAGGGTGGACAGCCTGGCCTCCCGAGACTCGCTTGCCGCTCCGCATCCTTCCTGGGGGAGGGAGGGAGGCCTGGTGCCGACATGGGTGGCAGACTTGGTTCTAAAGCCTAGCTGCCCCTCAGGTGGGCTAGGAGGTCCCGGGCAGCCCGGCCCCTCCCTGCCCCACCCGAAGCTCCCCAGGCCAAGCCCCTCTAACAGCCCTTCTGCTTTTCCCTCCCCCCCCCCCCCATTGGCTGCCACTAGACCAAGATGAGTGTCTGACGGGCGCTCATGATTGTAGCCGGCGGCAGTTCTGTGTGAACACCCTGGGATCCTTCTACTGTGTCAACCACACAGTGCTGTGTGCCGAGGGCTTTATCCTCAATGTGCACAGGAAGTGCGTGGGTAAGCGAGAGCCCCCGCTGCACCCCGCCACGGCCCGCCTTCCGCTCCACGCCAAGCCCGCCACACTGCCACAAGCTAAAGGGCCCGCCCTGTGCACGCCAGCCCAGCGACCCGTGTCCCGTGTCCCCTCCTGTCTCCACGTCTTGTCGTTTTGTCCCACCTGCTTCTCTCCGGGAGCTGCTTTTCCCAGGAGCGCGCCTGGGTGTGCGTCCTGGCTGGGCAGGGACGAGGTCAGATGGGAGCAGGGCAGCGTGAGGGGTCTGGAGGCTGGGGGAGGGCGTGCCGGGCGTCTTGTGCCTGGCAGCCCTGAGCTGTGGACAAGGTCTCATCCCCACCGTGATTTCCTCAGCCGTCCCAGGACTGTGGGGCATGGATGGGCGGTGCAGGGCTGGAGGCACAGTGAGCCGCTGGCTCACGGCTTGGTGGTCCTTAGAGGTACGTGGACGCTGGGGCACGTGGGCAGGTGCTGGGTCCAGCTGGCTCTGGACTGGCGCGTGGCAGTGGAGCACGCCTCCCTGAGCCTCTGTGAGGGCTGGGCACGGCCCAGCCTGTGTGTGGCAGGGTCAGGGCTGGGAAGCCGCTATCCCGTCCTGTCTCTCCGTGCCCATGTGGGGCTCCCGTGGGCGTCTGCAGCTAGAATTCACAGTGCTCTCACTGGGGACGCCTAAGCCAGCAGGGCCACAGGCCTGGCCCCAGGGCTCAGCAGCCTGGGAACAACAGCAGGGGCAGGCAGGGGGAGGAGTCACACCAGCGTGGGGCACTCTGGGAAGGCGGGCATTGGGCCTGACCCTGTCCAGCACGCACAGGACGCTGTGGGGCGGGCGGAGCAGCTCGGGGTGTGGGGTAGGGCCAGTGCAGGGTGCGCAGGGCATGCAGCCAGAGCCTCGTCTGTCTTCTCTGTGCTTGGGGACCATGTCCAGCCCGGACATTCCCTGCCTCCTCCATCGCTGGGCAGCCGGGCCGCTGGGCCGGGCCACGCGGCCCTGCAGACATGTTTGCCCAGGCCTCAGCGGTGGGCACAACATGGCCTCCCAATGTGCTTGTGGCCGTGGGCAGCTCATCCGGGTGGGCCGGGTCTGTGTGTGCCTGTGGGGAAGGGAAAGTGGAGGCTGCCAGGCCCGCGAGCTCCTTCTCTGGGGTGCTGCGCCCTGGGGGTGCGGCTGCCGGTGGCCTGGAGGTCAGGCTCTCGCCTGCGGGGCTGCAGCCTGTTCCTGCCAGGCCCAGTGGCATCTGTGGCAATGCCTGTGTGTCCCACACGTGTAGTCCGCCGGAAGGTGAGAGAGGAGGGCCTCACTCGGCTCGGCCACGTTCTCAGCCGTGGGGGCGCCACCTCCAGACGGCGTGGAAGGGTCCCCCCCCCCGCCGCCCGGGTGGGTCCGTGCAAAGGACCTGGACGGGATTTTGCCATCAGCTGTGGTGCGCTGTCTGGCATGTCCCAGCGGTCCTTGAAGGGCCGAGCAGCAGTGCAAGGGGAGGGGAGGGGAGAGGAGGGGAGGGGAAGGGAGAGGAGGAGAGGGGAGGGGAGGGGGGGAGGGGAGCAGCTCCAGCCCCCGGGCTCCTGCAGCACAGCAGTGGTGAGTGGTGAATGGCCGTCCAGGGCTCCCTGCAGACACCAGCGCTCTGCCCTCCACCCTGGCTGCTTCCCGGCTGGAGTGCAGGGACCCCTGTGTCTGAGAGGCTGGCTTCCCTACCTGATGCGGGGCACTGTGGGACCGTGGGGCTGCCGGTCCCCAGAGAGGCTTGGCTGTGCTCTCCCTTGTGATGGCTCCTGGGGGCCGGGTGGTTGGAAGGTGCTTCTGGGGCCAGCCGGGCCGGTGTGTTGTGCCGGTGCCCATTCTGCCCATTCACAGCTGTCTAGCACCCTCTGCTGCTGCAGGAGGATGAGGCCATGGCTCCGACCCCCTCCCCCATCCTGCATCATGGCTGGGGCCACGGGCTGCTGACCTTTGCTCCCCAGCCATCCCCCTTCTCAGCCGGCCTCTCCCTCCCAGCTTCTTATCTGTGGAGGGGCTGGAGGGTGGCCCTGGGCCTCGTCTCCAGGTTCTCTCTCCCTCCAGTGACCTCAGCCCTCCGATCACCCCAAATGAGCATTTCCCCCTGGGCCCCTGCAGGGGACTCGGAAGGCCTCCGGTGACCTCTGACCCTTGCACTCACCGCCCTGGAGCTCCCGCGCCTCCCCGGGGGCCCCTGGGGCTCCCGCGCCTCCCCGGAGGCCCCTGGGGCTCCCACGCCTCCCCGTGGGCCCCAGCACTGTCCCTCCTCTCAGCCCACAGTCCTGGGCTCTCGGCTCTCTCCCCGGCCTTCACCTCCTCTGCCGATGCAGCTTGGTTCTGGCTTTCCAGTACATCCACGGCCTCATGCTGCCCCTCCACCCGCCGCCCTCTCCTGCCTGCCGTCTCCTTCCCCCCCGCCCCCCCCCCCGTCCTTCCCCAGCCCGGAACCTTCTGTGGCTCCCATCCTGCATCCTGGTCCGGCCTCGCTCACATTCTCCCTTCTCCCCCTCGGCCACACCTGCGGGTCTCCCATGCCGTCCTCTGCCTGGACTGTCTGTGTCAGCCCTTCAACTTCTTGCTCCAAGGTCCTTCTGAGATCAGCCCGGCTCAGCCCGGCTCAGCCCGGCGTCTGCTGGCGCCCTCTCCCGCATCCGCACTGGCAGCCCGGCGTCTGCTGGCCTCACCGCCCTCCCCAGCGATTCTGCCTCTAGGCGGCTCCATCCACTCCCCGCCCCTCTGGTGCTTGGCCCGTGGCTAGGCCAGGCAGCGCCTCGGAGGGAGGGGCCGTGGGCCATGGAGACGCAGGCCCTGGCTCTGGAGGGGCCCAGCTCTGACGGCCGCCCCATCTTCCCCGCAGACATCAACGAGTGTGTGACAGACCTGCACACGTGCAGCCGCGGCCAGCACTGCCTGAACACCGTGGGCTCCTTCCGCTGCTACCAGGAGCTCACCTGCGAGCCGGGCTACGAGTTCAAGGAAGGAGAGTGCTCCGGTGAGGCGCCACTCCCAGTCAGCCCCACCCTGGCCACGCTGGCCACACCGAAGCCCGGCCCACGCTGCCCACACTGCCACACTGCCCACGCCAGCCACACCAAAGCCCGGCCCACGCTGCCACACTGCCCACGCTGCCACACTGCCCACGCTGCCACACTGCCCATGTTGCTGCCCACGCTACCACACTGCCCACGCTGCCCACACTGCCCACGCTGCCCACACTGCCCATGCTGCCCACGCCGGCCACACCAAAGCCCGGTCCACGCTGCCCATGCTGCCCATGCTGCCCATACTGCCCACACTGCCCACACTGGCTTCCTGCCCTGGAGGATGAGCAGCTGGCTCTGAGTGTCCTGCCTCTGGGTGGTGGGTTGGGTAGGAGCGGGGGTTGGGTAGGAGCGGGGATTGGGTAGGAGCGGGGGTTGGGTAGGAGGGGGGTTGGGTAGGAGCGGGGATTGGGTAGGAGAGGGGGTTGGGTAGAAGAGGGGGTTGGGTAGGAGGGGGTGTTGGGTAGGAGGGGGGGAGTCCCAGGCAGGAGTGGGAGGGACCAGGGCGTGGCCCCCTGCTGACAGCGGGGTGCCATTCAGTCCTTCCCCATGCCTCCATCTCCCTGTTGGTACAGGAGGCGGGGTCCCAGGGAAGAGCGCTTCTGTCTCTTTCACTGGAAAGTTCCAGCCTTCTAAGGAGAGGTGAAGCTGTCGGATATTTCACCAAGCACTTTCTGAGCTGCTTTTATGTGCCTGGCAGGGTGCTGGGTGCCAGGGGTGGGGCGGGGTCCCGTCTCTGAGCTGTGCAGGGGTGCGGGCGGGGGTCTTGTGTCTGCCCTGTGCAGTGGTGTGGGCGGGGTCCCGTCTCTGAGCTGTGCAGGGGTGTGGGCGGGGGTCCCGTGTCTGAGCTGTGCAGGGGTGTGGGCGGGGTCTCGTGTCTGAGCTGTGCAGGGGTGGGGCGGGGTCCCGTGTCTGAGCTGTGCAGGGGTGCGGGTGGGGTCCCGTCTCTTGAGTTGTGCAGGGGTGCAGCGGGGGTCCCGTGTCTGAGCTGTGCAGGGGTGCGGGCGGGGTCCCGTCTCTGAGCTGTGCAGGGGTGTGGGCGGGGTCCCATCTCTGCCCTGTGCAGGGGTGCAGGGCATTCACAGCAGGGTGGCAGTGGCTGCAGGGGGGTGTGGGGTCGAGGGAGGCTGCGGCTGCACTGGGGCCGTATGATGAGAAGCTTCTGGGAAGGTCGTGGAGGTGTGTGGCACGGGTGGGGGGAGGGGCGTGTACACCGGGGCCTGTGGGCACTGCCTGCCGAGCTGAGCCCGCGACCCAGCGGCGGGCACTGGCCCCACATCCGTCTGCGCCCTCGAGGGTCAGACAGCGAGTAGCGTGCGTCCCTGGCCCGGCTCCGCCGTGGCCCAGGCCTGCTCTTGCCCCCATTTTCCTCGCACCTTGCCGTTCTGCGGGCCGGCTGGGCACTGCGTGTCTCCCCGTGGATGTCGGGGACCCCACCCCCTCCCACATGGCACGCGGAGTCCTCTGCGACCCGGGGACCACACGGGCTGCGCGTGGGGAGTGGGCAGGGCTGCTGCATGTCCACTTGCCACCGACCCCCCCCCCCCTGTGTGCAGACGTGGACGAGTGTGCAGCAGGCACGCACAACTGCCAGGCCGGCTTCTCGTGCCAGAACACCGAGGGCTCCTTCTACTGCCAGGCCCGCCAGCGCTGCATGGATGGCTTCCTGCTGGACCCCGAGGGCAACTGTGTGGGTGAGCGGCGCTCCTGGGGCGGCGGGGGTGCTGAGGGCTGGGGCCGGGCGCCCTGCCTGCGGGGCCCACGCGTGGCTGCAGCAAGAGTCCTTCCCAGAGGCCTCACCGGGAGAGCGGCTCCACGCGCCCTCCACGGAGTTCCTCCATGTGTGGCTAGACCCACACATGTGGCATGTTAGAGAGCGAGGGGCGTGGACGGGGGGTGGACGGCCACGTGACACCAAACACAAATGTCACAGCGCACAAATGCCCATAAAGCCTCTGCAACCTTTGTTTTCAGAGTTAGAGGAGCTTTCTGGAACAGTCCACGCTGGACTCGGGGGTCAGAGTTAGAGGAGCCTTCTGGAACAGTCCACACTGGGCTCCGGGGTCAGAGTTAGAGGAGCCTTCTGGAACAGTCCACGCTGGGCTCTGGGGTCAGAGTTAGAGGAGCCTTCTGGAACAGTCCACGCTGGGCTCCGGGGTCAGAGTTAGAGGAGCCTTCGGGCACAGTCCATGCTGGGCTCCTGGGCTGAGGCTGCAGGTGTAACCTCACCGTTCCTGGAGAGTCCGAGGCCCAGCCCTGGCCTCCCCTTCCTCGCCTCCTCTACAAAGCCCGGGCTCAGCCCTGCAGCCGGGCCCGCGTTTCCGGAGCAGCCGGTCCTCGCAGGGCGCTGGTGGCCCCTGGGCCGTGTGTGTGTGTGTGTGTGTGTGTGTGTGTGTGTGTGTGTCAGGGCAGTGGGACAGAGGAAGAGGTAGGGAACGGCGCTGCAGGGCTGGACACCGGGGTGGACAGGACGAGGGGCGTGCGAGGCCCCGCGCGGTTGCAGGCCCGTCCCTGCACAATGGGGTCCGGGCGTGGAGGACTCTGATTGAAGGCAGAGCCCTCCCCCCCCTCTGTATCCCGCTCACTGACTTCCCTAGGAGTCAGCCCCTAAGGCCTGAGGCCCTCGGGACCCTGCAGGGCTGAGGGTCCCCATCGTTTCCCTGGGACCTCTCCTCCTGTCCAGGCCTAGGCCGGGTGTGGCAGCGGCTTTGTGACTTGGAACAGCTTCCTGGTGACTTGCTTGTGGACTGTGTTTCCTGAGCACAAGTACTCTAATAAGTGATAAGACACTCAGGGGATAAATTGTGAGACCATCCTCCTGGGCTTGTTCGGGACTGAGAAGGCAAGCCAGCCTGCCACTTGGACACTAGGGAGCAGTAGTGTGCCAGGGAAGCAGGGCCGTGGGTGCAAAGGCCCGGGGGTAGCATTGTAGGCTGCAAGGCAGACAGCGGGACTGGATGTAGTATGTGCAGGCATGCTGGGGGGTGGGGTGGGTGTCAGGTCCCGTACTCTCTGTAAGATGGGCAGCCTGTGGCAGAAGTGTGGCTGGCCCGTTATCCCAGACCTGGGCCTTGGACACCCTGTAGGGGTCTGGGGTGGACCCTCGGGGGCGGGGCACTCTAGCATTGCTGTCCTGTCTGGAGCTGGCCCGGAGCCCCCTACTGTCCACTCTCCCAGCGTGGCCCTGAGCCAGATGCCCAGGCCTGGGAGGGGCAGTGCTGGACTCCCTTCCCTCCGCAGACATCAACGAGTGCGCGTCCCTCTCCGCGCCGTGCCGCCCGGGCTTCAGCTGCATCAACACCGTGGGCTCCTACACCTGCCAGAGGAGCCCGCTGGCCTGCCGGCGGGGCTACCACGCCAGCGAGGACGGCTCCCAGTGCGTGGGTAAGCCGCCCTCCCCGCGCCCGCTCGGCCACCTGGCTCCCTGCCTGCGGGGCCGGGGGGGGGGGGGGTGCCCGGGACTCAGGGTGCCCCGCTTGCCCGCCCCGCAGACGTGAACGAGTGTGAGACGGGTGTGCACCGCTGCGGGGAGGGCCAGCTGTGCCACAACCTCCCGGGCTCCTATCGCTGCGACTGCAAGGCCGGCTTCCAGCGCGACGCCTTCGGCCGGGCCTGCGTCGGTAGGCAGCGCCAGGGTCAGGATCTCCGGAGAGCAGGGCGCCGCCCCTCCGCGCCCCACGCGACTCTCCGCGCCCCCTGCGCCCCTCCGCGCCCTCTGCACCCCTCCGCACCCCCCGCGGCCCCCCAAGACTCTCCGCGCCTTCCATGCCCTCCGCGCCCCCCGCGGCCCTCTGCGCCCTCTGCGCCCTCCGCGCCCCCCCCGCGGCCCCCCGCGCCCCCCCGCGGCCCCCCGCGCCCCCCCCCCGCGACTCTCCGCGCCCCCCCGCGACTCTCCGCGCCCCCCCGCGCCCCCCCCCCGCGACTCTCCGCGCCCCTCCGCGCCTCCCCCCCCGCGACTCTCCGCGCCCCCCCGCGCCTCCCCCCCCCGCGACTTTCCGCGCCCCCCGCGCCCCCCCCCCGCGACTTTCCGCGCCCCCCCGCGCCCCCCCCCGCGACTCTCCGCGCCCCTCCGCGCCCCCCCCCCGCGACTCTCCGCGCCCCTCCGCGCCTCCCCCCCCGCGACTCTCCGCGCCCCCCGCGCCCCCCCCGCGACTCTCCGCGCCCCCCGCGCCCCCCCCGCGACTCTCCGCGCCCTCTGCGCCCCCCCCCCCCGCGACTCTCCGCGCCCTCTGCGCCCTCCGCGCCCCCCCCCCCGCGCCCTCCGCGCCCCCCGCACCCCCCCGCGCCCCTCCGCCCTCCTGCCCTGTCTGCCCCTGCCCAGGCCGTCTCCTCTCACCTCCTCTGCCTGGCCTTCCTTGGTCCTCCAGCCTCCGCCCCTGGTCCTCCAGCCTCCGCCCTCTGCCTCCGCCCGTGCCCCCACAGCTGCCGCCACGCTGCCTCCCCACCCCTCCCTTCCCGCCCGGTCTCTCCCTCCCGGCCCTTCCCCCCAGCCCTGTAGCTCCTGGGGCTAAGCCAGCCACTTTGGGGCCACCTGCTCACAGGCTGTGCCCCTGGGCTTCCCGCCCCCTCCCCCGCAGACGTGAACGAGTGCTGGGCCTCGCCGGGCCGCCTGTGCCAGCACACGTGCGAGAACACGCCGGGCTCCTACCGCTGCTCCTGCGCCGCCGGCTTCGTGCTGGCCGCCGACGGCAAGCACTGCGAAGGTACCGCACCGCCGGCCCGGCCGGCCTGCCGCACCCGCCCCGGCCCCTCCGGCCTACCGCACCCGCCCCTCCCGCCTACCACACCGGCCCGGCCCCTCCCACCTGCCGCACCCGCCCCCGGCCCCTCCCACCTACCACACCCGCCCGGCCCCTCCCACCGACCTGGCCCGGCCCCTCCCGCCTACCACACCCGCCCCGGCCCCTCCCGCCTACCGCAGCCGGCCCGGCCCCTCCCATCTACCGACCCCGTCCCCGGCCCCTCCCATCTACCACACCCGCCCCGGCCCCTCCCATCTACCGCACCGGCCTGGCCCCTCCCACCGACCACACCCGCCCCGGCCCCTCCCGCCTACCACACCCGGCCTGGCCCCTCCCACCGACCACACCCGCCCCTCCCGCCTACCACACCCGCCCCGGCCCCTCCCACCTACCACACCCGGCCCGGCCCCTCCCATCTACCGCCCCCGCCCCCGGCCCCTCCCACCTACCACACCCGGCCCGGCCCCTCCCACCTACCACACCCGCCCCGGCCCCTCCCACCTACCACACCCGCCCCCGCCCCTCCCACCTACCGCACCGGCCTGGCCCCTCCCACCTACCACACCCGGCCCGGCCCCTCCCATCTACCGCCCCCGCCCCTGGCCCCTCCCATCTACCGCACCCGCCCCGGCCCCTCCCACCTACCACACCCGCCCCGGCCCCTCCCACCTACCACACCCGCCCCCGCCCCTCCCACCTACCGCACCGGCCTGGCCCCTCCCACCTACCACACCCGGCCCGCCCCTCCCATCTACCGCCCCCGCCCCTGGCCCCTCCCATCTACCGCACCCGCCCCGGCCCCTCCCACCTACCACACCCGCCCCGGCCCCTCCCACCTACCACACCCGCCCCCGCCCCTCCCACCTACCGCACCGGCCTGGCCCCTCCCACCTACCACACCCGGCCCGGCCCCTCCCATCTACCGCCCCCGCCCCTGGCCCCTCCCATCTACCGCACCGGCCCGGCCCCTCCCACCTACCACACCCGGCCCGGCCCCTCCCACCTACCACACCCGGCCCGGCCCCTCCCACCTACCGCACCCGCTCCTGGCCCCTCCCATCTACCGCCCCCGCCCCCGGCCCCTCCCATCTACTCCGCCCCCGGCCCCTCCCACCTACTCCGCCCCTGGCCCCTCCCACCTACTCCACCCGCCCCTGGCCCCTCCCACCTACTCCACCCGCCCCTGGCCCCTCCCACCTACTCCGCCCTGGCCCCTCCCACCTACTGGCCCGGCCCCTCCCACCTACTCCGCACCCACCCCCGGCCCCTCCCACCTGCCGGCCCGGCCCCTGCGCCTGCCCCTCTCGGGCGGTGCTGCAGGCCTGGCTTTCCCCGCAGGCAGGGGCACGCAGGCAGAGGGGGAGGCAGGGATAAACGGGACACGGCTGCCCGGCGAGCACACACGGGCTGCCGGCGCACGCCAGCCGCCTTCGGGAAGCCAGCCATTTCAGTCACTCCTCCAGCCAGCCGCTCTCTGCACGCGGCTGATGGATGGAAGCGCTTGACGGACTCAGCGCGCTCAAGCCAGCCGCGTGCACCGGCCTGGCCACGGGCCGCGGCCGCTGCGGGACAGTCCTCGCCGGCACGTTCGGGTCGGGTCTGCCCTCCCCTGCTGGCCCGGCTCCCTCACCTCCTGCCCTCCGTGGGCAACAGGCTCGCCTTCCAGAACTAGCACCACCCAGGCCAGGGCAGGGTGCGCCGAGGGGGTCCCAGCCTCACGCCTCATGCCGGGGGGCGTGGAGAGCCCGAGGCTCCCAGACACCACACAGCCACCCAAACCACCGCTCACCTCGGTCTGACAGCTCCTGCATCACGCGGGACAGTGACAAGGACAGGCAGAGGTGACAGTGACAAGGTCAGGCAGAGGTGACAGTGACAAGGTCAGGCAGAGGCGACAGTGACAAGGTCAGGCAGAGGTGACAGTGACAAGGTCAGGCAGAGGCAACGGTGACAAGGTCAGACAGAGGTGACAGTGACAAGGTCAGACAGAGGCGACAGTGACAAGGTCAGACAGAGGCGACAGTGACAAGGTCAGACAGAGGCGACAGTGACAAGGTCAGACAGAGGCGACAGTGACAAGGTCAGGCAGAGGTGACAGTGACAAGGTCAGACAGAGGTGACAGTGACAAGGTCAGACAGAGGCAACGGTGACAAGGTCAGACAGAGGTGACAGTGACAAGGTCAGGCAGAGGCGTGACAGTGACAAGGTCAGGCAGAGGTGACAGTGACAAGGTCAGACAGAGGCGTGACAGTGACAAGGTCAGGCAGAGGCGTGACAGTGACAAGGTCAGGCAGAGGCGACAGTGACAAGGTCAGACAGAGGCGACAGTGACAAGGTCAGACAGAGGCGTGACAGTGACAAGGTCAGGCAGAGGCGACGGTGACAAGGTCAGGCAGAGGTGACAGTGACAAGGTCAGGCAGAGGCGTGACAGTGACAAGGTCAGACAGAGGCGTGACAGTGACAAGGTCAGGCAGAGGCGACAGTGACAAGGTCAGGCAGAGGTGACAGTGACAAGGTCAGACAGAGGCGTGACAGTGACAAGGTCAGGCAGAGGCGGCAGTGACAAGGTCAGACAGAGGTGACAGTGACAAGGTCAGACAGAGGCGACAGTGACAAGGTCAGACAGAGGCGTGACAGTGACAAGGTCAGGCAGAGGCGACAGTGACAAGGTCAGACAGAGGCGACAGTGACAAGGTCAGGCAGAGGCGTGACAGTGACAAGGTCAGACAGAGGCGACAGTGACAAGGTCAGACAGGCGACAGTGACAAGGTCAGACAGAGGCGACAGTGACAAGGTCAGGCAGAGGCGACAGTGACAAGGTCAGGCAGAGGCGACAGTGACAAGGTCAGGCAGAGGCGTGACGGTGACAAGGTCAGGCAGAGGCGTGACAGTGACAAGGTCAGGCAGAGGTGACAGTGACAAGGTCAGGCAGAGGCGACAGTGACAAGGTCAGACAGGCGACAGTGACAAGGTCAGACAGAGGTGACAGTGACAAGGTCAGGCAGAGGCGTGACAGTGACAAGGTCAGACAGAGGCGTGACAGTGACAAGGTCAGGCAGAGGCGACAGTGACAAGGTCAGGCAGAGGCGTGACAGTGACAAGGTCAGGCAGAGGCGACGGTGACAAGGTCAGGCAGAGGCGACAGTGACAAGGTCAGGCAGAGGCGACAGTGACAAGGTCAGGCAGAGGCGACAGTGACAAGGTCAGACAGAGGCGACAGTGACAAGGTCAGGCAGAGGCGTGACAGTGACAAGGTCAGACAGAGGCGTGACAGTGACAAGGTCAGACAGAGGCAACGGTGACAAGGTCAGACAGAGGTGACAGTGACAAGGTCAGACAGAGGCGTGACAGTGACAAGGTCAGGCAGAGGCGACAGTGACAAGGTCAGGCAGAGGCGTGACAGTGACAAGGTCAGGCAGAGGCGACGGTGACAAGGTCAGACAGAGGCGACGGTGACAAGGTCAGGCAGAGGCGACGGTGACAAGGTCAGACAGAGGCGACAGTGACAAGGTCAGGCAGAGGCGTGACAGTGACAAGGTCAGGCAGAGGCGACAGTGACAAGGTCAGACAGAGGCGACAGTGACAAGGTCAGACAGAGGCGTGACAGTGACAAGGTCAGGCAGAGGCGACAGTGACAAGGTCAGGCAGAGGCGACAGTGACAAGGTCAGGCAGAGGCGTGACAGTGACAAGGTCAGGCAGAGGCGTGACAGTGACAAGGTCAGGCAGAGGCGACGGTGACAAGGTCAGACAGAGGCGACGGTGACAAGGTCAGGCAGAGGCGACGGTGACAAGGTCAGGCAGAGGCGACGGTGACAAGGTCAGGCAGAGGCGACGGTGACAAGGTCAGGCAGAGGCGACGGTGACAGGGTCAGGCAGAGGCGTGACAGTGACAGGGTCAGACAGAGGCGTGACAGTGACAAGGTCAGGCAGAGGCGTGACAGTGACAAGGTCAGGCAGAGGCGTGACAGTGACAAGGTCAGGCAGAGGCCACAGTGACAAGGTCAGGCAGAGGTGACGGTGACAAGGTCAGGCAGAGGCGACGGTGACAAGGTCAGGCAGAGGCGTGACAGTGACAAGGTCAGGCAGAGGCGTGACAGTGACAAGGTCAGGCAGAGGCGTGACAGTGACAAGGTCAGGCAGAGGCGTGACAGTGACAAGGTCAGGCAGAGGCCACAGTGACAAGGTCAGACAGAGGCGTGACAGTGACAAGGTCAGACAGAGGTGACAGTGACAAGGACAGGCAGAGGCGACAGTGACAAGGTCAGACAGAGGCGACAGTGACAAGGTCAGGCAGAGGCGACAGTGACAAGGTCAGACAGAGGCGTGACAGTGACAAGGTCAGACAGAGGCGACAGTGACAAGGTCAGACAGAGGCGACAGTGACAAGGTCAGACAGAGGCGACGGTGACAAGGTCAGGCAGAGGCGACGGTGACAAGGTCAGACAGAGGCGACGGTGACAAGGTCAGACAGAGGCGACGGTGACAAGGTCAGACAGAGGCGACGGTGACAAGGTCAGGCAGAGGCGACGGTGACAAGGTCAGGCAGAGGCGTGACAGTGACAAGGTCAGACAGAGGCGACAGTGACAAGGTCAGACAGAGGCGACGGTGACAAGGTCAGGCAGAGGCGTGACAGTGACAAGGTCAGACAGAGGCGTGACAGTGACAAGGTCAGGCAGAGGCGTGACAGTGACAAGGTCAGACAGAGGCGACAGTGACAAGGTCAGACAGAGGCGACAGTGACAAGGTCAGACAGAGGCGACGGTGACAAGGTCAGGCAGAGGCGTGACAGTGACAAGGTCAGACAGAGGCGACAGTGACAAGGTCAGACAGAGGCGACGGTGACAAGGTCAGGCAGAGGCGTGACAGTGACAAGGTCAGGCAGAGGCGTGACAGTGACAAGGTCAGGCAGAGGCGACGGTGACAAGGTCAGGCAGAGGCGTGACAGTGACAAGGTCAG